TTAGTTTCCCACGCACGAGATTACTGTGTGATGGTGTCCTTCCCTGGGGTGGGATGGGTGGGATTTATTGCATGGACTACTTGCACGATTTGCATATGTTCTGTTCTAGTGCTACCCTACTGCGGTAATGCAGTGAAAGTGGTTAGAGAAAAACTACCAGATAAAAGATTAGAGAAAACTTGGGAAAATAATGATAAAAAGAGCTGAGACAGCTCAGTACAGAAAATTAATCAAAAAGGGCCTAGCTGAAAAGCAAAACATCAAAGGTACGTAATGATGTATCTTTGATGTTTTGCTCTTCAGCCAGGCTCTTTTTATTAATTTTCAGTACTGACCTGTCAATTAATTATAGATATAAAGTTTGACAAAGTTCTGTTGATAAGCCAAGTTCTACTTTATGGAAAGATCTATATATTAATTATATGAGATGGGGAGATTACGCCTGATACTTTTAATTTTCATGACCAGTGAAAACATTCAAATTAAAACCTGTGAACTGCGAATCTTTTGATTTTTGCAATACGTGACCCCTGATTAATTAAAAGTTGTTTACCCGATTTTTCGTGATGCGCTACTTCTACTTATTAGGTGCGTGAAACATATGCAGGACAACTCTCTCTTTACCCCCCTGATAAATTGAATCTACCTACCATCTTAAGATGGATGAATTTTATTTCTGAACTCAATTTAAAGTTCTCACCCTCTTTCCATTAGTACCACTGAGCCAGATGAACTCTCCAACAATCCACACAGACATTCCAGTGTCTCGGGAGTGGCCAAATTGATCTCATCCAGTAAAACCCAGTCACCATTTTGTAATGCTTGCACAAGTGTACCTTCCACAAATCTAAAGGCCAATGCACTCTCAGCATTTTTCTCCTGTTTTTGTAGCTGCTGGATGTCCTGAATCAGACCTTGCCACTCAACCAAAAGGTGCTTCATTTGGTTATCTACATGCATATGTATACAGTTTACAAAGGAAAAAAGGTTCAAAAAATAATTCATGTGAGCCTTAAGGAACTCAATGCTGCCAAGGTCTACACTGTTTTCCAAACCACTGAGTGCCTGAAGTATCGCTACCTCTTGTAGATAGGATGGTAGTTGACAAAAAGCCACCCACCCCCCTCCCAGCATAAGTTTCTTGTCAGGTCTTACTGACAACTTACTTAATCCTTAATCTCATGGGGGAGGGGAAAGGCACTCAAGCAATCAAGTGTCTGATCATTAAGTCATCATGTCTTCTATCAAATTATTAATAATGAGTGTTGTTGTTATTCAGGTTCACCTTGATTTTAAACTTGTTATGTTTTTTTCCTCTGCTTCAGGTAAATTATAATTAATAGAAATCCCTTCACAACAAAAACTAAAATAATTTTAGCCAACACATTTAAAACTACAATATCTAACTTTGACGCAAACTTTAACCAAGTTTTTCTGTGCATTTCTTCTCCAGCCTCTTTACAGATGAACTTGATGAATTGTTTACTATAATAACAAACATTTAACTATTTCTGGGAACCATTTCAATCAAAGCTCACCTTTCTTTACTCTTTCTATGGCATTCTTTTGACTATGAATCATTAACTTGAACAAGATCTCCCAGTGTCCTTGAGCAAAGCATCTCTGTACATGACTCAAGAACTTCACATTTTGTTTCCTTGAGAATGTTTTGCAAAACAACACTTCAAACTTTTCCCTTACAGGAGCCACAACCTGTTTCATCTCTACAGGCTTGTAACCACCAAGTAGATCTGAGCTGTCACTTTGCTGGCTCATATTCACAACTTTTAAACTGACTGCGCACTGTGCCGCTAAGTACTGTACTGTTGATGTTTTCCCAGTTCCTGTCTCCCCAACCAGTAAAACAGGTTCACTGTTTCTGATAGAAGCAGCGACTTTTTCTAGCAAAACCAAAGAATGTCTTGTCTGGGCAAATTTTGGAATGTTAATTTGACCAAAAGATATTTCCTGGCTTTCATGAACTTTCTTTTTCAGTGTGACTCTGCCAATTGTCATGGACAGCGGAGAGGTATGAACATTTGGTTTGTAATTTGTAGAGAAAAATTCAATCTTCTCTTTGGTCAAGCCTAACTTGGCACCTACAGCCATATCAATCAAATTTTGATCATCAGTTTTTGATAAAGGAGCACTGAAACAGTCTTGTGCTTCAAGGAAAACCTCCTTAGAATCCAACAAGGTAGGTGCACCACAAGCTGTTACTGCTATTCTACTACACCACTTCATTAAATCTCTACTGGAGCTTTGCCGTTTATCACAAGGAAGAGAGCACTTTCCCGTGTCTTCACTGGAAACAAGACATGGATCTGCAGATAGCATGCAGTAGATATCCACCAGCTTCACTGCAATTTTTTCAAGGTCTGGGAACTTCTGGATAACCACCTGAAATTATTTCAAGTTAGAAATTATTTTTACTGTTTATAAGAATTTCCTCAGACTCAATTTGAATGATGCCAACTAGTTAGTAATGACTTAAACCTTAGCACCCTAACATTGGTACCCACATTCTCCACACTGTTCTCTATACATTTGCTAAGGTGCTGACCAGGAGAATTTGTTTAACAATCAAAGGGTTCCTTTGGTTGCTGATCATTTCTTTTATTCTTGTGACTAAATTAATATGTTTCATTCAGGGGTGATAATGAAGGGACAAATTCAATGCTAGTCACTCATAGGAGTAAAAGGGTTGATTGTGAATGCTCTCCTCTAATTGATAATAATAATAATAATAGTAATAACAATAATAATTTTCACTGCTAATCGCCGTCGTAAAGGACAGCAATGGTGCAGCTCAACAAGGTCGAACCAAAAGCTTACAATGGCGCCNGTCATTCTTATCTTATTCTAGTTTTTATCCTTATATTATGTTATTTAGACAGGACCCCATTGATAACAGTGCTCCTGCACTGAAGGGCTATCCTGTATAAATATTCGTTATTATTATTATTATTCTTATTATTATTATTATTATTATTATTATTATTACTTCCAGGAGATACGTGTTATAAAGAAGTGTTCAACCTGTAACTGAAATTGAAAAGTCTAAAGATAAAATAAACTGTGTTTAAATTACCTCTGTAAGTTCTTCCTTGGAAAAGGGCTCAATCTGTACTCTTGTCCATAGTTTTTCCAAGATGGAAGAATTAGCACTAGCAACTTGATAACTGAATCCACTATGACCTCTGTATGATCTAGATAAAAAAATAAATATACATTACATTAAAAATAAAATAATAATCACACTGGTTATGAAAATTTTATACCAAGGAAAGATTGAACCATAACAAATACATGTAAGTGTCATATTACCTCTGAGTAGCAAATAGTTGAAAACCTGGAGATGCCTTCACAGCATTACCATGTGCTGGTACAGACAGTGTACGAGATTCAAGCAATGGTATTAACACTGAGATCACATCCATAGGGGCCAGATCAATATCCTCTAAGAGAATCCAATACCCAACTTGTACAGCCTGTAGCAATAGACCAGCCTGCCATGAAAATTCTCCTGGGGTGTCTGTGCACACATATGTACCTAACAACGACTAAGAAACAAAAAGTAATTATAATATTATTATAATTTACTGATACATAGAGATAACTGTTTAATTGACCAAAATTTAATTACGATTGAGCTTTCCAAGGTCAATGATAATTTTGTTTTGTATCATAATAATAATCATAATAATAATGATCATGATGAAAAAAATTTTGTAGTGCTACAACTATTCACATAATCAAAACCACTTAAAATGCATTACATTAACTATTATATACTAGTATTGAACGATTTCCCAAAAAGAAATGTTTTGAGTTGTTTCTTAAAAGTAGCTAGGCTGCTACAGGATCTGATTGGTAACAGCAATGAGTTCCACAAGGCAGGAGAAGTATGAGCAAACTTTTATAGTTAGGTACTAATGTATATAGTATAATATTTTACATCCCAAAATTTCAGCATCAATTCTCCTAACAACAACCCTTGTCTTATCTCAACTTCTTCTTGTCATCCTTTTTCCTAACAATGCAACAATATCATAGAGGGAAATTCCTTTTTGGTCACTCCTGTGAGTGAAAGGATTCAAGTATCCTGGTTTCTAAAGAATGAAACTACTACATATTGTACGAGTATCACTATTTGAGAGATAATAATAATCAATAATAATAATAATAATCTTTATTTAACGTGGAAGGAACACTTAGCTGAAAGCTAGTTTTCAGGTTCTCCACAAAGAAATAACTGAAACTAATAATTCAAATTGAACATAACATTATTAAGAATCCCAACTGGCCGAAGGCAAACCAGTTGGCTATTTATAAGCATGGCCGAGGATTTGAACTCGGAGCTACCGTGAAACAAATCCAGGTAGTGGTCAGGGTGGGACTCGAACCCAGGAGCAGTGGATCACGAGTCCGACATGCTGACCACTCGGCCACACTGCCTTCAGAGATAGTTTATTGTCTAAGAGATAGTTTATTACCAAAAGATAAAAATACTTTGCAGCCATAGGCTGAATTGCATACTTTTCATAATTATTTATAAATATATATCTGAGACTATAAAACTACAAAATTTACAAAAGATTCTAAGACCTAAAATAATTATAATTACACAGCAATGGAATAAATACGCAGTCGATGTTAAGACCCTAGATTAGCCCTTGCGCACATTTCCTTTTTTCCTTTATTGACCAAGCTTCTTCTGTTTTGGCACTTTTTGGACCTCAACTTTGTCGTGTTCAAAAAACACAAAAAAGAATAGCCAATATGCAGCCATCTTGGCCTAATGTTTGGTCAATAGTGCTTATACGAAGAAAGGTACATTTATGAGGGTACATGGTCACCTTGCTGTCTGTTTGATCTCCAAGTTGTATCTTCATAAAGTCTGGCGGGTGTGTTCTCCCTGTTGCTCTTGCCACAAATTCAACAAGGGCTGTTTTCCCACAGCCAATAGGTCCTTCTAATAATACACCATTTCCTGTGGCTACTGACAGCACTAGTGAATGAAGATTATTTGCCGTTGATGGTACCATGACAAGTGAATGGTCCACAAGATTCAATGCTCCAGGTAGACAAGGCAGCATAACCCCACAAAGGGTTGTATACTGGCCAATTAAATCTTCCTTATTGATAGATACTCCACCTATGTTGTTAGTACTGACATCCATAGAATCTGAAGTCAATCGCTGATAATCATTTTTATCTGTACATTCTTGTTCATGACTAAACAACTCATGTGTTAACTCTTGTGTTAAAACTGAGGTTCTCTCTAAAGGGGTAAAAACTTTATCCAGCAGGTTAATCTTAACTTGTTCTGATAAACCTGTTAAAATTGAAACAATATGCAAAGCATACCATCTCACTTCAGGATGATTGTGTTGCAGAAATTTAAAAACAGGACTCCAGTCCCAGATTCTGTGAAATGTTTCAAAATCATAACTGAGTAGATTGTAACCAGTTTTCAATATATATAACATTCTCTCTATTTCTTGCTCGTAGAGCTGCTCCTCTTCCGAAAAAATCGACAGCAAACTGCAGGTTTTAATAAATCTGTAGATGAAGTCTTTCAAATTAGACAGTGTTAGCAACTGGCTAAGAATGTAACAAAATTTTTCTTCGTGAGAACTGTTCCCATATGATTCCTGCTGAAGTATTTTGACACAACGTTCCAGAATTTCCAGCAGTATTGGCTTACAGTGTTTTACTAGAACAGGAAACAAATCCTCAATTAAAAACAGCTCAGCCAACTTCTGTAGTAATAGCTGCTTGTCATCAGAAGACCACCTCTGAAATAAAATAAAAACAGAAACACAATCGAAAAATTGTTCACACGGAAGAAAAGCTGAAAAAAATTCAGCTTGTTAGATTATGCTTAACAAGGAAAATCCTTAATTTTACAACAAACAGACCAAACACAATGTACAGACCTCAACATGCGAAAAGTATGAAAGATCATTCTTAAAACGAAAGTCGCAGTCACATAGGTACATTAAGGCGCTCAGGAAGTCAAAGCGAAAATCCTTGGAACCAATCATGTCTTTAAATGAATGTGCTCGAATATAAATGTTCCAAACGTAACATAATTCGGGTTACGAGGGTACGATTTTCAGAATGAAAACAAATCTTCCATATTTTTTGCACGTGTGTATAAACGAGTCCGCATTGTAGCTCGGCCAGCGCTCTCTCTCATTAGTTTCATTCCTTCTCGTCCCTTAGCATGTATCGTTTCCACGACAACCAGTTTCACAGATCGCCATATTTTTCGCAATACTCTCCACAGTTGAAAGGATGGGTCAAGATTACTACGCTGTTTTAGGGCTTACAAGAAAGGTTACTGATGCAGATATCAAAAAATCGTAAGTAAATTGACTTAAAAATCTTATAATTATCTTTAATTTACTAAGAGAGGTTTTGATTAGTCAAAATTTCCATCGCCAGCTATCGCAAGTTGTCACTGAAGTTTCACCCAGACAAGAACCAAGAGCCAGGGGCAGATCTGAGATTCAAACAAGTTTCGGAAGCTTATGATGTGTTGAGCGATCGTGAGTATTATAATAGTATGCTGCTTTAAATGTGCCGCAATAAAAATTACAGCTCAAACGTTTAAGCCGTTCTTCGTGTAGTGAACTTAAAAAGGTAACTGTACTCTTTGGGCCTTGACAAATAGACATTGCAAAACACTATAATAATTTGGATATATCAACAAAGTAGAAATGGTAAATTGGCCACCGTAACGATTACAAAAGCTGACGTTTCGAGCGTTAGCCCTTCGTCGGAGCAAAACACTGATCCCTTTTTACTAGTATTACGTAACTAGAGTGTGACCCATATGATCTCATTACAGCTAAGAAGAGGGCAATTTACGACCAGTTTGGGGAGGAAGGTCTCAAAGGAGGAGTTCCTGAAAAAGGTAGATAACTGTAATTATTAAAAACTAGATCATTGGAGAAGGCAATTCAAGACTTTTTATTGGCTTAGCCATTATGGTATATCAGCCAATTACCATAATCTACAAATATGGTAAGTGTACGCATCAGCTTAAAATCAAAAGGGAGCTAAAAAATCTGGTTTCTTCTTTCAAAATAATAATTTCTCAGGGGCGTTTTTAAAAAAACAATTATTCTACTTGCGCTTGTTGGATATGACATGATTATAGCCAACTCGGTGCCATGCACCTTGTTGGCAATCTATCATCTCATATCCAATGCGCGCTCGTGGAATCATTGTTAAATATACATTCGTGAGTACTGCAAGGGTTAGGATGACCTCATAGTAAAGAAAGATGTCTTTGTTTACTTGGAAACTTTAAATGCATGTGTATCCCTGTGAAAGGAAAATGAAGGGAATGGATAATCTAAATCAGTACAAAATTGAATGAAACTGCCATAAACTGACAAAAAGAGAAAAACACAGTATGTTTCATAAAGTTGAGTTGATCCTACAACCCTAGAAATGAACGTGTCACCTCTGTTACAATTATATATTTCCCTGGTAGACAGGTTCCAAGAACAGAAAAACATTACTTATCAACTGGACAGCATGTACTCTTAGTTGACAAAGCACCAAATTCTTTTTAACAGCTTTACAAGAGAATGTATGGCAGCTCATTGGGAGAATTACTAACTAGATCTCGGGGAATTAATGGGTTTAACTATAAAACTTAAATGTATAAGAAACGGGTAATTCATCCTAAAGGCATGTTGATGTCTTCATCGTAGATGGATGGACTGTAGGATACACATTCCATGGAGATGCTGTTCGAGTTTTTAGAGAGTTTTTTGGGGGAGACAATCCTTTTGCTGGTATGCAAGTTTTTGTATATGTTTATTAAAAAAATACTTTTCCACATTGAGCATTGCTCTTTTATTTCTTTCATTGTTATTTAATTTTTGAATGAAGAGCCCTTTAAAAAGGCTCTTAATTTTTTCTGAATCTGCAAATCATATTTGAGATAAAAATTTTGGTTTAATTAATGTTACATTGAGCTATTGGTAGAAACTATCCATTAAGGCACTTGAATGCTGTAAAGTTGCGTGCAGTTAGATTTCATCGGGATATATTGATCTTTCTTTTTTCCAGAATTATTTGACTCATATGATCCAGAAGTTGGGTTTGGTGGAATTCATGGCAGAGGTCGTCGTAAGCAAGATCCACCCATTGAAAGAGAACTTTACCTTACACTGGAAGAAGTTTATAAAGGATGTGTCAAGAAAATGAAAATTTCCAGAAGGGTAAGAGCTAAAGGTGTTGGTTAATTTTTACTAGGGCTAAAAATAGCAGGATATTTCTGGGAAAAAAAGATTTCTGTCATAAAATAATTTTCTTTCATTTTAGGATGTTTCTCTACTTCTAACTCAACTCTAAACAAAGGAGGAACATGTACAGTGTAATCATTTCTCTTGTAAAATAGTCACTAGCAATTCTAGATCAGAACAATTCAACTAGTATAGCATTATAAGGTTGAATTATTATGTGTCACTATTTAGTTAGTTCATAGGAGTGCCTGAGTGATGAATGCAGTCTTGTTACAACAATTTCAGCACTCATGAACTAAGGATAAAGTATACTGTTCACAATCTTACTTACTGTTGTTGTTAAAAAACATGTCAAAAATGTATTTCAAAAAAGTAAAATTTTGTGACACTATGATTGACTTTGTAGGGGCACCTGTTTTCTGGTGCTAAAAAGTGTAATCTGAATGTTTTCTTTTAATTCTTTTAAAAAATTGTTCAGTGAAAAGTTAGGGAAATATCGATATAATAAACAAACATTTGTGCTGACAGGTGATGAATGAAGATGGGCACACATCAAACATCCGTGACAAAATTTTGACAATCAATGTCAAACCAGGTTGGAGAGCTGGGACAAAAATTACATTTCCTAAAGAAGGAGATCAGGGTCCAAACAATATTCCAGGTAAATACTGTGTCATCCCCTTCCTGCAGGCAATAAGGGAACTTTACATGAATGTTATCAGTTTCTCCTTGAAGTGATTTCTCATTAATAGCTCCCTGACAAGATGAACAAATTGAATTCAATGTTTTAGTTCAGTTCCTTTAGAACTGTCCTCGTTGATTCCAAGAAGCAGAGTATTTCCACAAAATCATGCTACGAACATAATGTAAGTTATAATTCTAGATACAACTTTATTCCCTTGATTTATTGTGTGCTATCCTCCTCTACATTAGCTGACATTGTGTTCATTGTGAAAGACAAGCCTCACCCAGTCTTCAAGCGTGATAATGATAACCTCATCTATACTGCTACAGTCCCCCTTGGAAAGGTAACTCAACATTATTCTTTCAAAAGAATACTACTTGTTTCTCCTTGACCCTGTGTCCAAATCCCACAATGGGTACCACTTAGGCAACCTATATTGGTATTATATTGATGTGTGGGTCAATAGTCAATCAGTAATAGGCTGATAGTCTGTGAATTAAGTTTTGATCATGGACTGGCCAACCTATGGATTGCCAAAACTCAAGGATAGCCAGTGCAGGTCTTGATGTTGCTGGCCAGCCAGTATCTTAATCAAGCCAACTCTTAGTTGACTGAGAACCAATCATCAACCACACTGACAGTCAGTATAATTGCTCAAGATATGTGCACTCTGATTTATTAAAGATTACCCTATATCTTGCTATAATCACCATGTGCTTTTAGCACATTTTTATGTGTGCTGTAATTAATGAAGGGGACACAAGTTATTATTGACAATACTTAATTACCTACATTTTGCAATGTGTTATCCACCCATAATGTTCATGCTGCAACAAAGTGATCATTTTTCTGATTTATTAACTTTGGGATGTTGATATTGGTAACCTATTTAAAGAAAACATATTTTTTTTAACTACCAGGCATTGACTGGATGTGTAGTGGATGTTCCAACCCTGGATGGACGACTCATAAGCATTCCAATCAATGACATTGTTAAGTAAGTTTTTTTATCCTAATTATACTTAAATAATTATGCTACATGTACATGTACATGTATTGTCATCGCATGGATAATGTTAAAATAACATTGTAATTTTAAGTCATCTAGCAGTTATGAAATAGAGAGACACTTTTGGATTTTTTCAACCACTGTGCTAGATTGATTTTTTTAAGAAATATTGATTGGTTAGAAGTGAATTTTATTCATTTGAATGAGCAAGGAACCGATAAAAATAACCAGGGTCACCCCAAGGATTCACATCTCCTAATGGCAGAGCTACAGATATCAATTTCTTTGTTGTCCCAAGATGGCGATGGGCACATAACATCCTTGTTTGCAAAAAAGTGATCTTAAAATTTACCACCTATTTCTATCTGTTAATTGTTAGAGATTCAGGTTTAAACCCTGGTGAGGTCATCAGGTTTTCTTGATGGGCGAGATGCTTTACTCCCTCAGTGCCCCTCTCCAATCAGGAGTTTAGATAAAGAGCAGCAAACTGTCAGCTGTGAGGGAAATATGACAAAAAAAAAAACTTATAGGTTACATGCCCCTCAGCTCCAGGACCTAGTCCTATAACAATTAATTATAATAGAATTGGTAACACTGTTAAGGTTGAAAATAATGCTGATGCTTTTGATTTCAGACCTGGCTATCAAAAAGTAGTCCCTACTGAGGGAATGCCAATCTCCAAGGATCCGAACACAAGGGGAGATCTAATAATTCAATTTAACATTGAATTCCCAAACCAACTCAACCCAGAACAAAAGAGAATGCTGAAAGAAGCACTATTGCTTCCTCCTTAAGCTGTGCTTCTCACTTGACCATAAGAAAATTGTTCATTGTACAAACGTAGTACAATACTTGAACAGTATTTATTAAGAGTTAATGACATTCTAACTATTTCAATACTATTCATGAGACAGTCACAGTGGCAGGTCTTGTTCTCCATCAATAGAGAACAAGAAGGTTGAAACCAAGTGTTAGAATTTTTATATTTTGTAAATAATGGAAAATACAGATTTAAACATTGTCAAAAATTCTTTAAATAGTTGACGTCAGTTGCATCTTGATAGCGGGGCTCCCGTGCGCGCATGGGGCTGAGCCCCTTACCCATCGAATATGGTCAACTTCTTTTCGTTTGGTTGTCACGTGACTGACTGAGCGTACATACGTACGTATGTGCCTTCAGATTGCATGGGTAGGGTGGGGGAGACTATCAAAATGAAGGGAGGGGTGTCTCAGGCAAGTCTTGGCAAATGCACATCTTTTATGTTATCATTAATATTACAAACTTGGGAGCTCTGCTTTTAGGCTTGGCTAAATCTATATATTATATTTGGCCTTGACACTTGTGCCAAGAGTGAGGGTAAAAGGACAAACTAGGAATGGCATCTCCTTATCATTCTGGAATTGATGTATTTCATAATCAAAGACTACCACTGTCAAACTTTGTGTGCTGCTTTTGTTTTTTATATTCTACACCCATCTCCCTGTCCTGTTTTTCAGATTTTCTCAATCTGCCTATAAGGAGAATATAATAACTTTTAACTCTTCCCACTGCATCCACTTTGAACAATTCTGTGCTAAGTTTGCTCAAGTTAGGGGGAAACAATGAGACAGTTCTCACACATAGTACTTGTATTTCATAATCAAAGGCTACCACTGTCAAACTTTGTTTTTTTTACATTCTACACCCATCTCCCCGTCGTGTTTTTTGGATTTTCTCAATCTGCTTATAGGAGAATATTATCATTTCTACTCTTCCCACTGCATGTGCTTTGAACAATTCTGTGTTGAGTTTGCCAAGGCTAGGAGGAAACAATGAGACTGAAGTAGGTAGAATATAACTTTTTAAGACATTAATTAAAAGTCAAAGACATCTTGGAGCAACAAAACACATTTATATACCTCTCACATAATATACAAATTTGATGGCTATATTCTTTAATGAAAATATCAATTAAATAAGTGATTGTCATTACAACTGTACAGTGTGTCGAGAAAGTTAGTGTTTGAAAAACTGCATCCAGTACGTACAAAGTCTTTTGGGTTCAGATGCTACAGCTGATTCATGATCTTCCATCTAGCAGCACAATGTTCTATAGCCAGGTGATGGCCTTGCATGTGACTGAGAAAAAAGTGTTTTTTAAGTATCAGAAAGCTACAGAAACGTGTTTTGTCAATTTGCTGGAAAATAGAAAAGTAGTCTAAGAATGGTTATAATGGGAAGAAGACACCAGAAATGAAAAAGTAAATCATTGGTAAGTTAGTTAATGCTGGTAAAGCCCTATTCAAGCGGTCATGATAGTTGATGATAGTTTCAGCTATCATTCACCATCACTCACTATCACGTTTGCATTCAAACAGTTCATGATAGTTAATGATTGCGTGTCTACAAAAATCACATGACAAGATCATGAAATTGTACGCAAATATAGTGCATGCTGAGATCAGCAATTTTAGTGGCAATTTGAAATTTTAGTTGAGTTGTGAGTAGAGGATACTGAAGCCTACTGGGAGTTGATAAGAATGAACTACCAGACATTTTGCAAAATTTTGTCAGCTATTTTAGTCATTTTACCATTTGCCATGCATTTTGGTTTTAGGCAAAACTGCTGACTGAAAAACCCTCATACACTATCATTTTCTGGTTTAAACGACCAAAACCGTCACATCAAATTTGAACATGTCAAAACTGCGTGATAATTGAGGATAGTTGATGATAGACCATGCTAAAAAACACTTGACAGTTAAAACTATCCTCAACCTTTGTGACCGTTTGAACAAGGCTTAACCCTTTCACTCAGGATCTCAAAAGTAATTCTCATTACTGTCTATCCTACAACTCTTAGGGTGTTAGAAGAATTTGGTCATGGATCAACTAATAATCCACTGTTGATATTTTTCTTTATTCTCATCACTTATCTGCTAGATAGTGTATCAGTATTGTAAGGAGAAATTCTGTCTTGGTCACTCATGGAAGCAAGAGGGTTAAGTTTGTGCAGGGTCAGGTCCAACTGAAAAGACCTTTGTATTTTTTCAAGTTATTATAATCAGGAAATTTGAATTCTTCACAACAAACCAAACTTACAGAAAAAGGAGGCATGGGTCCAATGAAATGATTATATCTTCTAATGGCTTCTCTGATGTGTTGAGGTTGAATACAATCATCACTACTGTATAAAAGGCTTGCAGCTGATCCCTGAAATGCAAGTAACAGCACTGCTGCAAAGACTTTTAAACACAGAAAAACAAAGATAGACTATTGAAAATTACCCAACTCCCTTAGCTAAAGGGCTAAAAATTTCACCCTTGCAGAGAAAGTTTAAAAAACAAATTTTACAGCTTGTATCTGGCCCACCTGTATAATAAAGGAAATATCAGTACATTCTAAATCACAAACAAAAAGCCACTATTTATATATTCAGGCTGCAGTCTTTCTTGGGAAACATCTCTGGCCATACTTGAAAACCAAACTTTGATGCTTGCTGTTCTTTATTTCTCTCTCCTATTCAAAGGTTTCAATATTATTTTTTTCTCGGTCATAACAAGCAGTTGTGACTAAAAATCTAACAGGCCTACTAAAACCTTAAAATGGACAGAAGACTGCAGAAAAGCAGCTTTAATAACACCTTAATACCATACACCAAACTTACTTTAATTTTTCGTTTTTTGCTCTTAGGTTTTGCTGGTACAGTTGTTGTACTTTGTGAAGCTGATGAAATTCCACTAGTGCTAGACACACTTGGGGTGGGACTTGGAAGGAAAGGGGTAGTGGGTGTGGTAGGGGTTCCAGGTGGAGTGTGGTTTGGAGTAGAGGGGGTAGATGTTGCACTTCCAGGTGTAACAACAGATGATTGGCTCTCTGACAGGATAGAGACAGGTGGCATAGCTTGAGTCAATGCATCAGAAGCCTCCAAATCTTTCTTTACTAGTAATGCCAAGTCAACTATCTGCCAACATAAGAAATCTGTCTTTAAGGCTTTACACAACACCCACACTTAGACCCCTTGATTAGAAGCCCAATATACTATATGCAGTGGAACTTAAAAACTTAATTACCTGGAAAAACAATAAATAATGGAATTCATTATTTGTGTTAAACTAAACAAAGGCAAGGAAAGAGCTCACAACATGAGCCAGGCCAGCCGGATTAAGGTGGCTCGTACCGGTTTTCATCTTTTTGATGGTTTGTAACTTTGAAAGAATACAACAGAAAGACTGACTAAGGCCAGTTGAACACTTTTACGGGGTTGAATTACATAATCATTGGTTATCCAAAAATAAGTGTCATTTCGTCACTAGCAGTTTCCATGGCAATGCTTTCATAGGCTTATTCAGACGCATTTTTTAGCTTGTGGCTTAAATAATTCGAAAACTAACCCGGTGACCCCCTGATTTTTTTCAGTGATTGCTTTTGGCACTTGAAAAGGAAAATACACAAAGATTTTTAAAAAATTATATGGAGCGGAATTTCAGAAAATCTACAAAAAGGGCAATTTTCACACATGGCAAATTTCCTTCCATAGAATTTTCTAGTTTTTTTTCTGATGATTCCTTTCGACGTTATTATCATATTGGAACAATAAAAAGAAGGGGTCACCAGACTTGTTTTCATGCAATAGCTTTCGTGAGTTTAGCAATTTCCACGCGCGTTTTCGCGCATTTAAAAATCTGGATTCTATAAGATCGACATTTGCTCATGATCTGTTTTAGCTCCCGCTGACAATTGCGTGTGCTCGCGCGACCACCTATGATCTGATGATTACAGATGTTTACTGCTAAGAAAATCATTACACAGCCGTCAAAGACAGCCTCCCGAGCTCATCTTAAAAATCCTACACATGACTTCTGGCTATATCATATTATTTCCTTGAAGTTTCAAAGTCTTCTTCCACTTCAGGTAGATTATCCTTCACTTGAGTTCTTCTTTTTTCGCCGTTACAAGATTTCATATCGGTTGAATATTTCTTTTAAATGTGAAGTGAAGCAACCTTTACTTCTCCGAAAATTGTCTTCGTTATCTTAGTTTCTATCTCCTGCATTCAAAGTGGCCGCTCAACACATCAAATACAAGCTCTTAGGTAAACTTCTCACAAAAGTAGAAAAAATTCCACGCGCCGCCATCTTTGTTTTGAATTTTCATCTTTTGATCTCGCGCTTCTTTCGCACGTTTCTCTCGCGTGCGTCACGCAAGAGTAACCTGTTTCCCACGCGAGGAAACTGGTACGAGCCACCTTAAGCCAGGTTGGTTGTGCAAGTGTCATTATATGACAATTTGGTTTTATCAACTGGTTTGATAATGTAAATTGGCAACCTTTAAGAGTTTCTGAAGTTAGATGTTAGCCCTTTTGTCAGAGCAAATGTCATGACATGCCAGGTGGGTTGTCATGTAATCTAAAATTTTTTGTTACATTTGATACATGCACCAAGACCATAGAGGACCACACAAATCTAGTCCTAGGTGCATATAAAGGTCATGTAATTAACCACAGTGAAAGTTTTCTGGTGAAACTGTAAAAGAAGGCAGCATGGTCAAGTGGTCAGCGCGTCGGACTTGCAATCCGTCACTCCCGGGTTCAAGTCCCACCCTGGCCACTACTTAGATTTGTTTCATGGCAGCCCTGAGTTTCAAATCCTCGGCCATGCTTGTAATATAGCCAACTGGTTTGCCTTCGGCCAGTTGGGATTCTTAACAACATTATTTTCAATTTGAATTATTTGTTTAAGTTGTTTCATGGAAAACCTGTAAACTAGCTTCTAGCTAAGTGTTTCTCCAAATTAAACTGTTTATTTTATTTTTATTTATTATTTTTTTAAACTGCAAACCAGTATACATGCAGAGAAAGATCTGACTGGATTCTTCTTAAACCCACCTGTCCCACTGTCTCATAGGCAAGGAAGCTGAATACTTCCATCACTGGGGTGTTGGGTTTCATATCAATAAGTGATGCACAGTCCAGCCACTCTTTGAATTTTCCTGCTTTTTTATCTGCAAGGAAAATCCCATTAGCTGTAAACTTCTGCTTAAACAATATGTTTTTAACTCTACACGCACTTCTTTCTTGTGACAATGCAACAAAGCATTTTACTCACTGAAGTTAGCCTGTCGACACTCAGTAAACTCCAAATATTGTTGGGGGTCAAGAGTTCTTGACAAACGATCAGCTCTCTGAAAATTAGAAGAAACTAGTTGTCAGGGAAGGTTCACAGAAAAGGTCAAACCTCCCGTGCTAAGTTTATGAACATCTTTTGTGTTTAAAGAAAAAAACAAAACAGAAAATTGTTGTTTCTGGGCAAAGTTTAATTTTTAAATCATATGGCAGTTTAAATCTGAATGAGATAAAAAAAAAACAAACTGAAATTCAAGAACATAAAAACTCACAATAGAAGTTATAATATAACATAAGTAGTACACTTGAAACACTTCATTTGTTGTAGGGTTTTTTTCCATTCAGTTTGGTGTTCTCTTTAGAAATTTTTGGGGTGGTCTCTATGGGATTCTGTGAGAGGGGCCAAAGTGGTCAAAAACATGGTAATAACTAATAAGCATAGTACCTAAAGGTAAAGGAAGGAAAAAACATGACACCTCTAACTACTGTACCTCATTCCTTTCCTGTTTCAGCTCATCATTGTCATCCTCCTCAAATAAAGCTACAAGATCACCTAAAGAAAAAAGTTAAATACCATGATTGTACAATGCCATAAACCTCTCCATAGCAGCGTTAAGTCAAAGTTTATTTCAGGTTTTCAACCACTCTGTCTGATCAAAGAAGCCAATGCTTCTGAAAGGAGAAGCCAGTAAAAATGCTGATCATTGGTGCTTCTGGAGAACACTATCATATAATATGAATATATCAACAAAGTTGAAAAGGTAAATTGGCACCGTTACTATAAATAAATTATTAAAGCTGACGTTTCGAGCGTTAGCCCTTCGTCAGAGCGGCGAAGGGCTAACGCTCGAAAGGTCAGCTTTTATAATCATAACGGTGGCCAATTTACCATTTCAACTTTAAACAACTTTGTTGATATATTCAAATTATTTCGTTACCCCCACCAACGCAGCCCCAAACAGTTTCTTTAGAAACTATCAGCCTTTATTCACTACCATATTATAGCCTCATAAGAAGATAAAGTCTATACTCAAGCCTCTTGGCCTACCCAGCCAGAGCTTATTCCACTTTCCATGCATCATGAAGTGACTAGGAGAATTTACTACACTTCCCTTGGATGGGATGCTAGTCCACCACAAGGTTTCCCCTAAGCATTTCATCAGTAGGCTTCCCTGACAACTTGCTGGTACCCATTTATACTCCTGGGTAAAGAGAGGCACTGTAAAAGTAAAGTGTTTCGCCCAAGAACACAAACACATTGACCCCATCAGATCTCAAATCTGGACCTCTTGCCCCAGAGTCCAGTTCACTGACCATCAGGCAACTGCATCTGCCACTGCTATAAGAGGTTTTGCACAGCAGCCATGTTGCATAGCAGGAACGATAGATTATTTTTCCCATGGGAAAAAAATTTCTTTCTTATGCAAAGTATTTTCATTGTTCCTGCCATGCAACATGGCTGCAATGCAAAACCTCTATAGCCTTGTATATGTGCAGATTTTTGCAGGAATGGGGTCCCGACCAATGATGTCCACAATCCACTTACCAGTTTGATCTATTGTGCTCACAAAGTCATAAGAAACCTTTCGTTTTTTGCTACCCTTAGTTTCACTTGCTGCAAAACAGAGTAATTACTTAATCAGCACAAACACTTAAAAATCAATCTCAATAGGTGTTAAAAAAGGCTCAAAACAGATATCCCTTTTTAATTTTCAAGGTTTTGAATTGCTAATACTGTTTCACCTGCAGCTTCTAAGACTTCATCGTCATCTTGAGAGGTTTGTTTCTGAGTTTTGTTTTTCACATCTTTGAAGTTGAGATACCTGATTAGCCTTTTGAGTTTTTCCTGCAAAATCATGAATAATTCACATTGAGGCAACCAAACTTATTAAAACATGCTCTGATAAAGTGTTTTTGTCTACATGCAGCATGGTTAAGCTTGGATGAAGGTGTCCTATTCAATCCAATCCAATCCAGATCAATCTTAGATTATAAGCCATGCGAATTAACAATGAAAACCTTTCAAAGTAATAATAAAAATAATATCACAGACATATATTTAGAGCCAAAATGGTGATATTGTTGTACTTTAGATTAAGTCTTGACTGTTTCCACAACATGTGCTTTTATTGGGTTAGATTTTAACTGATAAATTTCTAAAATAATTGTCTGACACAATAAAAAGATTGTAAGAATTCTAGTCAAAGAATGAGTGGCCTGCAAGGTTAAGTAGTGTCCAAAGCAGTATACCAACCATCATCATTCCTCAACTTACTTTGTCCTTCCTCATTAAAAAGATAATGTCTTCCACACTCATAAACCTTCCCCCTCGCATGTTTGTGACCTCTGCAGCCCGTACAACCTGTAAAATATGGGCATGCAACACTGAGAACCATTTGAATCATAATCAATACATTATTTTTATAGTGTTCATAGCCAAGATCAGGTTGAATGATCATACAGTGTTAGGACTTCAGAGTACACCCCTTCTGAAACTCTCACAGAGCTGTCAACTTCCCTCTCCCATCCACAAAGTTCTGAGAGATGCAACAGCATATGGGTCAGTGCACTGGACTTCACATCAAAAGGTTTTGGTTTTATTGTTCGGTAGCATCAATTTCTGTGTTCTTAGATGAGACACTTTATTCACACCTGAGTGCATCTTTCTGGGCAGGAGAACAAATGGATATAAGTGATTTTTGTGGGAAACCTGATGAAGTACTAAAAGGTACAACATACAATGAACTAGCATCCCATTCACAAAGGGAGGCAATACTTGAAGTCACTTTCATGTCAAGGACACCAGGATAAAGTCTGTCAGCAGTAAGGAATAACCTTAAACATTACCAAACAAAACGAACTGAAGAAATGCCCACTCAAACTGGGTTAATCAGCACTCTTGTAACCATCCTGAATGATATACACTATATGAACTTATTGCCTCATTTCATAAAGGAAGGTTCTATGGAGAGGAAAAACAGCAAGTAAAATAATAATGAAAATACCAGGCTAGCCATCTGCGAATGGACGATTTCTTCGATAAGAAGAGCTGACTCTGCTGCTGGTTTTCTTGAGTCCCCAAAGGCATACCTGGTGACAAACGGCACATTATTTGAAAAGGTACTCCTGAGAACAGGATGCTGACTCATCACAAGTACCCCCGCCCCATCTGTCCTTCCCCTATCAAATTCATCATGTTTCCCTGAGAGTCTGCTAAAACACATTATAACATAACTAAAGTAAAGTGTGCGCTCTGATTGGTCAGTTCATCATCCACCATTTGCCCATGGGTGTCCGCTGCTGACATGAGCAAATGCAAAGACTAGTTTTCCACAAATGCTTGTTTTTTTCTGATCACATAAGATTTATTAAATGAAAGAAAACTCTTTTACTACAATGTATCAATGTTATATTATAAAACAAATGGTAAATGCCACAGTTTACACTATATAGTTATGGATGCACTTGGGAGGTTTGTTAAGCACTCAAGAAGCTAGTATAAGAGTCGCTCTCAGCTAACACCTTGCGTGACTCTCACACTTCTTTCGTGCTTAGGAACCTCCTGCATGCATCCATAATACAATAGTGTATGCTGTGGTGTTTACCATTTGTTAACTGTTACTCCTGGGTGTAGATATTAAGTCCTGTGAGAGTACATTTTTCTTGCTGAACAAAACAATGTAGTATAATTATATATTAATTTTTACTCCTCTTACATAGGATGCTAGATAAGATAGATAGATAACTTTATTTACTGAGGGTAAAAACACTTTACAGTTAAAAATGAAAAACTAGTGGCCCTCATTGTACTATGCATTAAATATGATAAATAAAATGACTAATGACTAAAGTACTAATTGTAGAATTTATTTAAAGAAATAGAGAAATGATCGGTACAATAGGGTGAAGTTGGGATCCACAGTGAGTGAGTG